GCCTGGCCTGAAACTTGCTGTGTAGTCAACGCTGGCTTGGATTTTGTAGTCCTCCTGCTTCTGGCTCCTGAGTGCTAGGACTCAGGACCCACCACACTTAGCTTAATTTTCTACTTGTTTAGTCGTAAAAGAAGCAATGTCTTCTTTTCTTTTTCTTTATATTTTTCTCTTTTAGCCACAGTCTATATTCATTTGGACTGTGACAATGTTATAAATGCAAAAACTCTGCTTGGAGTTCAAAGCATTTGTACTATCAAATAAAAAAAGACAATCTGAGTGTTTTAGCCGGGAATCCTTAGGTGTAAAATTACCAAATATCATTTATCTTTATTTGGTTATATTCATGATATCTCTGATCTATGTTATATACTTAGCATTTTCTTGAGACAGAAACTCACTGTGTCTACCAGGCTACCCTCAAACTCCTAGAGATCCAACTGCCTCTGCTCCAAAGTGCTGGTATTAAAGGTATATACCACCATACCTGGCTACTTACATACTTTAGAGAGAGACATCACATACTATGGTTTATATAGATATTTTAAAAATATCAGTAACATCAACTTTGACAAATTTAGCATAAACAAATTTATAACTAGTAGTATGGAAATTTTACATTTGAGTTTATGCAGCATGAACAAACTTTTAATATATATCATGAGTAGACATATAAAAGAAACTAAATTATTCTGTCCTCAATGAGCCATATTCCACTGGACTGGGTGTATGTATAGGGGGAATGAATACAATTTCATGTTCTTAAGCATTTTACCTTAGTTTGTGCATAGCAGTGCTTATCTGACTGAACTTAATGTATTTTAAGGCGTAATTTTAAAATAAGAAAATAACAATGGATATAGGAGTTTTGATACATTTTATTTTCTTTCTTGAGCTGTTTCTTGGACTGTGCCAACCAAGTACAACTCCTTCTTTTTTGGAATGTCTCTTGCTTGTGGGCTACCTTCTGGTCATGTTTCAGACCCATTCACAGCCATGCTGAGAGGAGTCGTGGAGAGATCCCAGATAGGACAAAATTAAAAGTCAGACATCCTCATGTCTAACCATTCTCAAGTATGGAAGGAAACACCAGGGTGATTTAAAGGGAGCCATTCATGTGCATTGGATAGGCTCCATCTATCCCCATGCCTGGACATGTGCAGAGGGCTTCCTTTACCACCCTACACATCGTCGGAGTTCATTCTTCAAAGCCGTCATTAGTGCATGTCAATTAATTCAAGAACCTCTTTGAAATCTCTTAACTGACAAATATCCTTATTTTTAAAAGTCCTCTTCTAAGTGGTAAATGTTTCCCTAGTAATTTCACATCCCCCACTCCCTGGGAAGAACTGTATCTTATCAGCTGCCTCTGCGGAAACCTCTAACATAACCCTTGAGGCACCTCTGTATACACTAGGGTGGTGTGAATCTCTCTTTTCTAGTGTTTCAATTTGACTCAAAATAGGGAACAATATCCCAGCATCCAACCCACAACAGAAGGACAGATGAAACATTGTGTCTTGTATTTCTAGCCCTAATCACATACACTAAGAGGGAAACCTGTCCAAGAATTCACACATAAGATAGGCTTTTTCTTTTGACCTGTTAACTTCAGAAATTAGGAACATGAGATGCACAAGGCCACAGAGAATAGATATTAGTATGAGAATTAAAATAAGTTTATTTTTGGATTGTCAGTTACACTTCCTATAACTGCTATAACTGAAGCTGTTTGCCCTGCATTGTAGACCTATTTTTCAGGCTTATTATCAAGATCAGGTATGGTATTCAGTATTATCTACCTCAAATGTCATGTCTACACTTACAAATTGCTTTCTGTTCTTGTATGTTAAGCTTAAAGAGACATTTTAAAAGTGCTTAACATACAAAGGAAAAGGGAAAGTGTATTAAAATTACAGAGCAGTTTAAATACAAAACACACACAAAGAGAGAGCAAGCAAATCCTGAAAGCTGCCTCCTGTCCGTCCCTTTGTGCTTAGGTGAAAGCCGATGGAACAGGGAGGTGAACGTCAGCATTTTGAATTCCTTTAAAAATGTATCACTACTCTGCCAAGCCCTTGATTCTAAATTTAGATCTAAATGAATATTAAGTAGAATCACCAATGGTTAGATTGACAGTGTGTGTGTGTGTGTGTGTGTATGTGTGTGTGTTTGTTCAAAAGTGGAACTCAAATTTCTACATTAACAATTACAAAGGAAACCTATGATTAAGCACTATGTTCTTTCAGAAAAGAAAAAAATAGCTTGCACATGAATTCTAAGAAGGCTTGGAATACTTTCAGTCACTCTTTAGTCTAATTGAACTAGAGATTATAAGAGAAAGTCTAACTTTGGAAAAAATAGGGTAATTATGGAATGTGGGTCAGATGAAGGAATCACGGTAACCTGAGAGTGGTGATCATATCCTCCTCAAACTGCTCTTCTGTTTTTCAGAGCAGTCTTTCAGTGAATACAAAATGGGGAGGAAAAATGAAGGCATGGGTCTGCCAGGAAAATAAATTTTATTTCTCTAGTTTTCACATGGGCATTATTCACTTTAGAAGTAATTGACACCCTGCAGTTCATACCCTTTCCAGTGTATTGGCCAACTGGTTCACAAACTGGAAGTCCACAAATGGCTAAATATTGCCCTGAAAAATGCATTAAAAATATGGTACTTTATTTTTGAGGTTGGTCCACAATACCACATTACATTTTTCCATATTCTATTTGTGTGCCTGAACTTAATTATGATATTTTAGTACAGTCTATAGTCTGAGAACTTGGTTTGATAGGGTGTGGGAGAAACTTGACTCAGCTGTTATTATATATTTTTTGACTCTATGTCAGGCACTGGCTTAGTACTAGGCAGCAGTAAGCAGGGTTCCTACTTACACAAAGATGTAGTTCTAGATTAAGGTGGGAATTCATTTTGCATCTCTGTGGGGGGTAGTTTGTATGGCTAACTCTGAAAAATATATCCAAGGGAAATTTTCCTTCTTTCTCCTAGTATCTTCCTGAATGCCCTCATTAGTAAGACACATAAAATTATACGACTGCTACTAAAAAGCTTGCTAACAGTTTTATTAATCCCACATCCTCCAACTTTCGAATGGATGATATCCTATTCATGAGATAGGACAACTATGCATAGCCTAGCTTCTTCATGTCAGAAATACCCATGTCTATGAAGCAGGCTTGAGTGTATAGCTAATATGATAGTATCGATGATCAGAGGCATCTATATCATGCAAATGAGAAAACGACTCAGTCCTTAATGAATACCCAAATTATCTCCAAATACTAATACATAAACCAGAAGGAATTATGAAATATTAACAGGCTGAATAGCACAAAAGTCATGATGAAAGCTTTGAAAAATCATCCATGAAAAGCATTTTCTCTAGTGCTAAAGATCTCCAAAGAAAGACAATCCTAAATCAACTTCCCCGAGGCGTAATAGTTCTTTCTCTTTTTAAGACAGTATTCTTAAGAATTAGTGTAATTCCTCTCTGAGATTGCTTAAATTCATTTTCTCTTCTTTTGTTGTCGGAAGATGCTTGTTAAGCCATTGTACATATTTATTCAAAGAATAAAGGCCATTCTGCTCTTCATAGTAATCCTTCCTGGAGATAAAAGAAAACTGCAGCCACAGGCTCAACATTGAAGAGATGTCACTCATTTGTTTGATGAAAATCAATTATAAAAACCAATTATATGTATGGGTTTCATTTCCTAACTTCTTTTTCTAACTAACAGAAAATTGTAGGAATAGATTTTCAGATATGATAAAGAGCGAGCTATCTAGTTTCTCATAGGTTGATATAATTACTATTATCTAAGTCTTATAATGCAGTTGATATTGCTTTGCCTTTATATAGATTTTCTCACTTACATGACTTTTCTTATTTAATCATCCCAATCATCATATGGTGTGTTGCCTCTATGGGATAGAAATGGGAAAAGGGAGAGTAATGAAGCGTGTAGAGATCACACTCTTTGTAATGCTCACATCTGAATTTGAACTCTAGAAGCTGATTCTGGGCCTTGAACTCTTAATTACTGACAAGGAAAGCTATTCACATTGTATCACATCAAAAAGCTCATCATCTCTCTTGGGTTAATTGGTTATGCCCTTGAAGGAAATGTCTACTGTATTGGTTTGGTTGACAACATTATTTGTGAATAAATGAAATTAGAACCTGGCAATATTGGTTTCCTTGAAATTTTCAGTCCCTTAAATAAATTTATACTTATCTTGATATAAATAACTAATTCACCATTAAGTCAGGATAAGGTATATGTTGTGTAAAAGTGATTATCCACCATATGCACTTGGTAGAGAGAATATATGATCCTTTATCTTTATATCAAAATACATATGTAATAGCAGATGGGTGATATTAAGAGCCTGCCAATGAGTTTACCCAGTGTGTTATTTAATATCCAAAATCCTATGATTATCCCCAGGCAACAGAACCTTTCCCCTTTAGAAGAAGTGCCTTGGCAAACAAGAGTACAGGACAACATTTATCTGACATTTGCATAAATGAAAAGTAAAGTAAAACACCAGGACCACAGACTGAATAGACTAGTGAAGACTGCTTTACATGTAGTAGTTTTATGGCCCCCAACAGCGCTCAGCTATTAGCCCAGCACAGCACAAGACAGGGCTTTGGCATTTCAGTTTTAGTGGGGATTTGGAGGAATTTTAGCCTATCGACTTCTCACAATTATTTTTGTGAATAGAAGGTACACAATTAATGTATCCGTATCACTGTCTATACATACCTCTATGCTTCAGTTTAAAAAAAATTCAAATGGTTTTTGTTAAGTGAGTTGATAGCTGAAATTTATTTATTTGGAAAAAACTTTATACAACAAAATCAATTCATATTTGGTGGGTTTTTTTCATGATCTACTTGAAAATTCCATGAACTGCAGACAAGTTATGCATGTTCAAATATGAAATCTAGATTCTCACAGCTCTTCTCTGCCCACAGGTTGTATATAAAAATAATGACGTAAGGCTGGAGTTATCTCGACTTGCCAAGCAGGGAGATCCTAAGATGAAGATTCATGGAGTGGTGGCATTTAAGTGTGAAAATGTGGCAACCTTAGACCCAATAACTTTTGAAACCCCAGAATCTTTCATTTCTTTGCCTAAATGGAATGCAAAGAAAACAGGCTCAATATCATTTGATTTCCGTACAACGGAGCCAAATGGACTCATCTTGTTTAGCCATGGAAAGCCAAGACATCAAAAGGATGCCAAGCACCCACAGATGATTAAAGTTGACTTTTTTGCTATTGAAATGCTGGACGGTCACCTGTACCTCCTCTTAGACATGGGGTCGGGTACTATCAAAATAAAAGCCCTGCAGAAGAAAGTGAATGATGGAGAATGGTATCACGTGGATTTCCAGCGGGATGGACGGTCAGGTAATTTAACTTTTTACTGTGCTATTACAAACTCCCTCCCACCTCCTGCCATTCTGAATAATTACAACCAAGACCTATTAAAGGTTTGCTACATTAAAAATATATTGCCAGTTACTGTTTCTGCTTTACCTCTTGTAAAATATCAGAAGAAGCCTAATTAATTATAATGCTTCAGTATCAAAACCCAAATGACTAAATGCTTTCAGTGTCTTAAGCAAAAATTTCTTTTTTTTAAATTAAATTTTACTCATTTATTTTACATCCTGACTGCATTTTCCCCTCCCTCTTCTCCTCTGATTCCCTCCCCACACCTCCTTTCCATCCCTCCCCTCAATCCATTCCTCCTCTGTTTCTGTTCAGAAAGGGGCAGGCCTCCCATGGGTCTCAACAAAGCATGGCATATCAAGTTTAGGTAGGGCTAAGTTCCTCTCCTTTGTATTAAGCCTCAGCAAGGTAACCCAGTATGAGGAATAGGTTCCCAAGAGCCAGCCAGAGCATTAGGGACAGGCCTTGCTCCCATTGCTAGGAGTCTCACAAGTAGACCAAGCTACACAACTGTCAGACCTATGTAGAGGGTCTAGATCAGTCCCATACAGGCTCCCTAGTTGTCGGTCCAGACTCTGTGAGCTCCTATGAGCCCAGGTTAGTTGTTTCTATGGGTTCCCTTATGATTGTCTTGACCCCTCAGGCTTGTAAAATCCTTCCTTCTCTTCAGTAGGATTTCCCTAAGCTCAGCCAGTGTTTGGCTGTGGGTCTCTGCATCTGTGTCCATCAGTTGCTGGAAGAAGGCTCTCTGACGACAGGGTATTCACCAATCTTATTACCGGGCTAGGCCAGTTCAGGCTATGTATCCAGTAATGCTGAGTCTTAGCTGAGATCATTCTTGTGATTCATGGGAGTTTCCCTTGCATCAGGTTTCTACCCCGAAATGCTCTCCATATTCATTACTCTCCCCCACCATCTACTCCCCAACTTCCTCCCTCATGTTCGCTTTTCCATCCACCCCCAGTCTACCCAGGAGATCTCTTCTATTTCCCCTTCCCAGGGAAATCTATGCATCCCCGTTTGGGCTCTCTTTATTACTTAGCCTCTTTGGGGCTGTGGATTATCCTAAGCAAATATTTCTTAGATATCAAGTGCCACATCTTGCAAGAAATTTTATCTTAAATTTGTCGATGACAGAGTTTAGAGTTCTTTATAGAATTAACTATGTTTTTATGCCATTGGATGTTTGAAGGTACCTGAAATGCAATTATAAAAAGTGAAGAAGAAAAATGCGTGAACATTCATCAGGACTGTGGGGAAATGTACTGCACAAAACACTTCAGTTAATGTAGTGGCATTCAAAGTTACCTCTCAGCCAGCTTTTCTTTACGACGTTTGACATTCCGACAGCAGGGGTTACCCCTGGCTTCTCTTTCTGCCCTTCATTCCTTTATGGGGGTGGCAGGGTAACTTTCTCAAGAAATAATATTTTCCACGCACTTTAAAAGTTGCTTGACGAGCTTAGAGTTTGGGCAGTCAGAACTTTGAAGACGGGAACAGCAACTAGGAAGATAACTTTTTACACAAGAGAATGAAGAGTGGAAAGTAAGAACACGGAGAAAGAGCTGGGATGACAGGGACAGAATAAATGGAAATTTATAACCCCGACTTATCTCGGAAAGTCTATTTATGAGTTCCCTGTTTGGGGAAATTTTGTTCTCTGAATGCCATTACCCTAAACACGTTGGGGATTGGGTTCATCTCTGTTTTTCTTATGTAAGCTATGAAATGTTTACTGATTGGGATGCCGAAAAACATTCACAAACTCTGCCCTGCCCCACACTCTCTGGAAGAGTTAGTACTTAATTCAATCCTTAAGAACTTTCAAAAGCTGGGCAGTGGTGGCGCATGCCTTTAATCCCAGCACTCGGGAGGCAGAGCCAGGCAGATCTCTGTGAGTTTGAGGCCAGCCTGGGCTACCAAGTGAGTTCCAGGAAAGGTGCGAAGCTACCCAGAGAAACCCTGTCTCGGAAAAAAAAAAAAAGAACTTTCAAATAAAAGAATTAAAATGAATGTGAGAACAAGGCATGATCTAGTGCTTCAAAATATTAGATTGTAGATGGTATCAGGACTTCATGTATATCTAGAATGAAATTTTGAAAATGATTTTGAAGAAGAGAGATTTGACTCATATTTTATAACATAATTTTGACTCATTTTATAACAGAATAAGATAAAACAAATCAGATTATCTTGTTAAACCTTAGAGGTACAGAAAACTAAAAACAGCAAACTTCAGATCAGTTATATTTTGTTTATCTAGAAATGAGATGCTAATGATATAAAAATAATTCATGACAAATATTAAGTTATTAGTTAATGCAAATTAATTATTAGTTGATGTGAGAATACCAAAGCCCCCTAGTACTCATTTCATAACAGACATATGTTTGTAGATGCCACTTTTCAGGCTTTCTTCTTCTGAATTATGTGTATATGTATATATACAGATGGGTTTACGTACATAGTATATTCAAGCACACAAGTACATACACACGTTATACATACACATAGAAACACGCACCTTAAAGGAGAAAAAAACTTGATGAACTTTTCAGTGAAATTCATTATTATCTTACCAATTATTGAACGAATACCATAATTTTCAAGGCAGAAGATATCTATTGTTTTGTGCTTAACCTCTCTATTTTATCATCATACTGAAAGTTTATTAACTCCTGTATTTAAATCTTTATTGAAGAATACCAAAGACAGACAGCATCTACTCTAATTTGCACAGTTCACTTTTGTATTGAATGAATAGGAACATTTTCTAAGTTTTAATTGCAATCTCAAAGAGCAACTAAAGCATTGGGTTTTTGTTGTAATTCACTGGAAAGATGGAAGTTACTATGGTTGTTGGTATTTTGATGGCAAATTACTTTTATGTGATTAAAAGTCAAATAAGTGAGTTGGAACAAACAGTGTGAAAACCAAAGCCAACTTTTGCCCTTCAACAAATTGAAGAAGGTAGTTCACATCATGCAAGCCTCACTCAGGGGAACTTAATGCCATTTTAATAGCTGCAGCTGTTAATATTTTATATATAGTTCTTTAATTAAGTTCTATATTTGCCCACTGCATTGATCTGGCATAGACCTGTCTTTTAAATTTTGAATGAATGTATATACAGTTTCATTTTATCCAAAGAATATTCTGAATTTTGCTGTTGAAATGCAAGCATTTGCAGCTGAGTTCAAAGTAAGAAACATGGAATCTCAGAGTCAAATTTACCCATTTTCATATCAATTATATTCAAAGGTTCTATGAAAATGATTGCCCATATCACAAAGAAAAATAGTGTGGCTATTTCAGCAGGACATTTTGGGCTGCCTTCTTACAGTGATAAAGAAAGGTTCATTGAATTCCCCAGACCACCCGTTAGCTAAATGCCCAAAAGCATTTAGAAGTACCTGTTATTTAGGTTGTTAAAATAGAGGGACCCAAACCTTTGAGTTACTCTTTTTTAAAAAAAAAAAAATTTTTTTTTTTGAGACAGAGTTTCTCTGTGTAAAGGCATTGGCTGTCCTGGAACTCATTCTTTAGACCTGGCTAGCCTTGAACTCACAGAGGTCCAACTGCCTCTGCCTCCCAAGTGCTGAGATTAGAGGTGTGTGCCACCATCACCTGGCTTGAGTTACTCTTTTAGTAACTGATGTCATTGACATAGATACTAAGTAAAGCATCATAGAGCTATTTGATGGCAAGCTAACTACTAATTTTCTTGGTCAGAGGTAAAATTAAAATCACAGTAGTGAACATAACTGAAATTTGGATATTTCCAAAACAGTTTATAAGGGAAATTCATCTAAGAGAAAGTATATTTAATTTGTTTCTATATTCAGAGTTCCTAATTTTTGGGGCATGAAATACAGCTGGAAATACAGGCGGATACCTTCAGATCCAATCCACCTCTATTCATATTCTCTGTGTGTGTGTCTCTCTGTCTCTGTCTCTCTCTCTGTATGTGTGTCCTCTATCTCTCTTTCTACACACAGACAAACATATAGACAGAGTAGCACATTGTCAAAATACTCCTCAAAAGACATCTATTAATAGAATAATAGCAATTTTCCTTGTAAATGCAACTTCTTTAAATTTATAATCTCATTTAATTGCCTTCTTGAAAGGCATTTATACAATATAGAAAAAGAGGCACTGCCCTTTTATGGAGACAGTGAGAACTTCCAAGCCCAGACATGTGAAATAATTCAAACAGAAAGGTCAATCATTGTTAGATAACTTTGCGAGCCTGGGACAGGAACGACAAGCTTTGATACGAACAGGACTTTGAATTCTGCTTGTTCACAAGATCCGTATATTGTTAAGCAAACATGTAGGTAGAAGAGAGTTAACCAAGGTGGAAGCTGTCGTCTCCCCAAGTGCTGGGCCAGGCAGCAGTGGCAAGGATTGTCATCACCCAGGCCACCCTTCTTCCCAGTTGTCTATCCCTGGGTGTGAACAGAGGTGTTCACAAAAAGGGGTATGTGAGCCCCTTAGAGGATGAAAAAAACTACATTAATTTGAATATTTTATTATGAATAATGGCTTGTGAACACAGTTATAACACATGAGATATTAATATAATTAACTAAAAATCATCTCAATGTGTACAGCAGGGTAATAGGCAGAGATATGGGAGGGACATTTACAGCTAGGAGGCAAGTTCACTGCATGACCTAAACAGAGAACTCATCTAATAGTTGTTCAAGCAGAACCATCTAAGTGTGACAAAACCTAATGACTACGGGAAAAACTGTGTTCTGAGTTTTTACCCACCTATGATGCATCTTCCATTCCAAAATGTAGAGAAGAACTACACGCGCTAATTCCCCCATTTTTATACAACTTGATCACACCAGTTTCTCTAGACAATGGAGCTTCCTTCTGTTGCCTACACAGTTTATAATCAGTGACATGGGAGGTGAAGTGGCTGAGTTATCTGCATATGGCCA